AAGAAAGCAGCCCATAAATCACAGGTTTTTAATCAGTACACTGCACTGTTGTGCAGTAAAGGCTTTTTCACAGGGAAAAAAATTGCAGTTCTATTATAAGAAATGAAGATAACACATTCAGTCATGTAAGACAATAATGGAAAGGCAACTTCTACCACAACTGGTTTAAATTTCAGTGAAAGTAACACTGAGCAGTGATTTAAATGAGGGTTAAAAATCACATGGGTCATCTGACCTTGCCTTAGTTGGGAATTGCAGTGGCATAAGAGCACAGATACTTAAAACTAAGCAATTATGAGCTAAGGCAAAATTGCAGATAAATAAAACATGAAGACTGATTTCTTTAGTGGCTAGAAGAGTACTCAAATGTTTGCACATGTGGTGCCTTATTCCCTTTTCCTTCAGCTGAGCCAAATCAGATGTTTGTATGCCCATACATTAGTCAATGCAATCTCTGTGGTTTAAAAGAACATTCAGCAAATACAGTGGCTGAGGAGTTTGAAACACTTTAAAACAAGCTTTCTGATGGAGAAATTATGTGAAAAATGCATCCTCCCACTTGAGCTTGCTTGAGCCCATCTCATTTATTTTCTAGAACTTGAATTAGGGGAGGGGGAGGAGTTGGAGAGGACAACAGGAAAAACATGATAATTCAAGAATAATTCTTTTAGAGCCTGTATTTGATTTGTACGTGAACAACTTGAAGTATCAAATCACAACTGGATCATTTGTGTAGACAAGAACTGGATGGTTCTGAACACTTCCTGTACGTGTCCAATAAACATTTGTTCTGTCTTGCAGGGCTATGGAAAAGCAGATCACTCAGTGACTGTAGAGATACTGAAGAAAGTGTATACAGACTATGAAATTACCTGGTCAGATGACAAGAAATAAACTGTGAACACAATCAGCAGTTCAAAACTCGTAACTGTGAGCTGTACTTTGATTACAAATAAAAGTTCAATGTGTCCACGTATGTAGGCATAAATCTGGAGTAACTGGACTCTGCAGTAATTTATAATACTGTCATTAATCCCCGGAGATACCTCATTTTTCATTCCTTTGTGCAGAATATGTAGTTCTAAGCCTTTTCCTCTCCTTTTGATGTGGTGTGTAATTAAACACTTCCACATTATCTGACCTCCAGTTTGTTTTCATCCAGTCCTGTCTCACTGATATATTTTAGGATACATCAGGATTTTGCCATCAGCTTAAAACACCACAGGACCAAACCTGTTCTCTCATCTTTTGACCAGAGGTTTTTTTCAGTTTCCTTTATTTTTCTATTACTTTTTAGGCTTTTCATCTTATCCACATTAACAAAAATTGGTGTGGAGGGCGAGGTTGGCTGTTACAGTTCTTCACCAATGATCTAAATCTTTGATTTACTCCGTGGTTTTGAAATCCCAGCATCTGTGTTCCATAAAAGTAATGATCAATGTCTTTGGTGTTCCTGTAAGATCCTCCCCCATAACAGACTGATGGCAATGTCAAATCCTGCCAATGCTCCTTTCCTTCTGATTCCCCTATATCACTTTTATTCCCTGTGAGAATAATCATGCTTTTTTTCCTTTCTCTCTTTTTCCAGCAATAATTGTTATAACCACCTCCTGGCAAACCCAGTACACCTAGACAGTGTGTGAATTAACTCACCTGCTTCCTGTTGTGGCAGGATGTTGCCCTTTATTTGTTGTGAAATGACTTGCTACAAATTTCACTTTTTTTGTTTCCTGCCAGCCTACGTTTAATTCACTTGTGGATTTCAAGGGAACACATTGTTGACTTGCAGTCTTCAAGAGGTATTTGTGTATAAATTCTAGTTCTTCCCTTTCCTGTGGCTCCTATGGCACTTATCCACCAGTATCTGGTGGTATAGAGTAGCTTTTTCTTTTCAATGTGCCTGTGACTCTCACAGTAAAAACTATGAAATTTGAGAGGCTTTAGTCCAGTTTCTATCACAAATAAAAAAAATCCTGCTGTTACTGCCTTGTTACACTAGTTACCCATCTTATGTCACCCTTCTGTGGCTTTGTTTTGGTTGAGCAGAGAGGAATTTCCTGTTCTTATCCTCAAAACTTTCAGTCCATTCCTCATTAGCAGAGTTCAGGTATCTCCATCCCAATAATCACCTCAGAGCAGGATCTCTTGAACCTGGTGCTGCACCACTTCAAATGCCATAATGATTGCATTAAGATTTTGGTTTCAGAGCATGATTAAATGTCTGTGTGCCTCGTAACCAAGAATAGCATACAGGTCAGTAATTTGCAAATTGGGCACTTCCCACTTCCATTCTCATGGGGTTTTTTCCCCCCTAAGCTCTAGTAAAATAACTGTAATTGCCAGTATACAAACCTGGTTTTTAAATAGCCTCGTTTCCCAAAACTAGCAAATGCTCTTTAAAGGGAAGTCATCAGTAAGGATAGTATCTGTTAAAATAAACAAGCTTTTTAATTTAGTTTCCTGAGGTATTTAATGAGTGATTTTAATCTTTCTCTCCACAACACTTACGGGAAAGACCTAATTTAGACCGGATTTCTTATTGTTAAATGGCTTGTTCAAAATGTGAGGGGATGGGATGAGGGGAGAAAAAGCAGGTATTTTATGTTGAAACACCAACAGAACAACCAGCCAACAGAGCTAAGTGTTGAATCCTGCTTCTTCTCAGCATCTATCTACTGAATTTTAAGACCAGAACTCATTTGGAATTACGGAAATCCCAATGCTAATTTTGCTGATTTCACCTGAGAAAAACATCCTTCATTATTTCCCATCTGTAACTCTGAAAGGGGAATTTAATTATACTGTGTGGGGTTACCTGTTTTGCAGGTGTGCAGCCACTGAGACTATGGCTCTAGCAGTCTTCTGCTGAAGTCCTAAAACATCTGATGCTGTATTTGCACAGAAACAGAGCTATGTTTGAGCAAGATACTCAGTAAAAGTGTAGTATTTAAACCTAAGACAGCAAGTTTGATCATGGGATATTATCTAGAAGAAACGTTATAGTAGAAGATTGTAAGTACCTTCTTCCTTTATTCATCAAAAAATACTTGATATTCTTGTTCTTAACCATATTCTTTGTCATAGTGGTCAGCATTTCTTATTGTTTCAGGTGTGGTTCTCTGACACAGCACCAGACTCAGCAGGTGTAGAACAATCCGTGTCCAAGCCATGATTTGTCTTTGTCAAAAAGGTTTGAAAAATGGTAAATCAGTTTGTTTCCAGCTTCCCTGCTTCGACAAAAACTGTTAGCAGTAATTTTTTGATCTGCCAAAGCTAAAACCTCTGTTCCTCAGTTTGTAGCCAGCAGTTATCTGTTGTCAATGAGAAAAATTTCCAAAGCACAACGACAGTCATGGTACAACTTACTGCGTTTTTCCTCCCTCTCCTATCCTGTGAAAGGCCAGATTCAGTAGTTTCCAAAGGACCACTTTAAAATAGTCTGAAACAACAGTAGTTAAGGTTCTTCTGTAAAGTCCAGGAAATCCTCTATGACTCTGTCTTAATAGCAATAGGGTCAAAATAGGAATCTTGAGGCTGATGTTCATAGTCTTCAGTGATGGGAACTTTTATGCAATAATTAAAGTGATTTAGGTTGCTGCTGTAATAAGTTTTTCCATGCCCTCAAACTGTTGTCCCTTCTCCCCTACACTGAGTATCCCTGCATCCAGTTTACTGCACTGGTTGACTATCTTTTTCTTTTTTCTGTCTCTTTTTTTATATTTCTGCAAGTGCTCCCAGTAAAACTGTACATGATGAGAAGCAGTAGCCTTGAGCTACATGTTAGAGCTGTGTAATGGCTTTTTGTCTGTTTTTTGTTAAGACAAAACATGCAATGGATTTGGTTTTCTTAGTTGCTGGTGACACTGAGCACTCAGGACCAGGGTTTTTTTATTTCTTTGGGTTTTTTTGCATTTTTGGTAAGGCAATTTCTTCAGCACCATCACTGTCTTCAGCCTAGGAAACAGCAGTGCCTTGCACCCAGGTTTTTCTGAATGCTTTCTCTCCTGCCAAACTGCTGAAGAGATGAAAGAGGTGTGGGTGCTCAGTAAAACCCCAGCAAGTTTTCGAAAATGGGGCAGTTAATTTCTGGAAAAAAACCTTTTTAAAAAAAAAAGTGCAGCAGTGTAGTTAAACTGTGCTATTACAGTGGTTTGTCTCCTTTCCCAGCTGTCACCTAAAGCTCAGTTCTGCCATCCTCCATTGTTGCACTCATAGGTTTATTGGTTGGTTGTTGTAAGGAGCTCCTCTTGTGTCAAGACTTTCAAGTCAGCTTCTGAAACAGAATTGTTTTATTCATTTCTAAACCAGCATCACTTTTCCCACTTACTTGCTGAATAGAGAGCGATATGTCAGAATCTGAATGTGAATATTCAGAGCCCACAGCAGTAGCTGTTCTCTGGTACACTTTTTCAAAGGCTTGAGCAAGTCATGTGTGCATTACACAGGGAAACATTACCCGGATTTCTGAGATCGCTGGCAGGGTAGGACACAAGTGATAGATACAATCACATCTCCCTCTGGTGGCAAAGCAGCAGAGCTCACTGGTGCGTGGTCTGTGCCCAAATCTGGCTGCAGTTAGACCGTACCCGAGGGAGGCCCAACCCTCGAGAAAAGCCTCTTGCACTAATTCAGGATGCTAAATTGTCTCATTCAGCTACAGTATGTCACGTCATTCCTGGGTCATCCCACGTGACATATGTCACGTAGGTCACAGCCGTTCCTGTGACCTACAATTCTGGTGCTGACAAAGTGAAAGGGGAGGACTGGGGACAGTGACGTCCTTAATTTTTAAATACATATCAATGGCAATTAATTAGCATAAACAGATGCTGCTTTAAGCAGAACTCCATTTTTCCATGCAAAATCAGTGTCAGAAAACTCCTTTACTTCTAGTCAGACAGAATTTGTCAAACATTTCAATAGCCACCATCCTTAATTTGTCAACCGAAATAACAGAGGAAAAAGCAAAGAGATAGGAGGATTAAAACATTTTTAAGTTATTTTTTAAGGACTAGTGGTTGAATTTTAACTGGAATCTTTAAAGGCCATTTCCATAATGCATCGCTGCAGTCCCTGATCAATGGTTTTAATTATACTGGTTCTAAACACATTTCTCTCTTCAATGAATTTCTGAAAGAGGTAGATACCACCACCAACCCCAAAATAATGCACTTTGCTTGCCAAATACACATGGCCATTTTTATCCAAGAGCTGAGCCAGCGTATCATGCAAAGCACTGTAATAATCAGGATTATAGATGGTCTCAGATGTGAGAATTATATCATACTTTGAAAAGGGTTTGTTGCTGCTTAACAGGAGCTGGGTGACTTCAGACCACTCTCCAGAAAAAAATCTGCATTTGGTGAGCACATCAGGTGAGCCCTCTGCTTTCTTGGGCCTCTTGGCAGGAGGTTTGCTGGTTTTTCTGTCCTTTCCACTAATGCCTTCATTTACACAGTTGGCCACCACGTTAGGCAGGGTTATTTCCTCAATCACTGTGCTGTTGTAGTCCTGAAAATGGACTCTTTCAGCTTTACCTTTTAAGGCAACTATTCCCAGCAATCCAGCCCCACAGCCAAGATCCAACACAGTCTTGTTGGTAAACTGTATTTCAGCCTCAGAAAAGTAGTCCATGAGATCAAAGGTGCATTCCCAGATTTTCAGTCCTCCTTCATAGACTCCTGGGATGAGATCAGAGTGAGAAGAGACACTTTTGGACACGATGCCTTCGCTGTCGGCGTCACCCGAACACGTCATTTCCAGCACAGACACCTTTACATGATACAGGTCCAACACTGTTTCCATTACTTTGTTTTCCAATATTTTGTTGAGATCTCCAGGTATAATGTGCTCCTTGGCAGCTTTCACACAGTGCTTTGTCTTTGGTGCCTCATCCTGGTGCTTTGCAGCACCTGGCCTTGGGATGGAGTCTACTCCAGCATCGGCAGTTTTCCTGCTCTGTTCCACGGGTTCCTGCTTGCATTTTGGAGAGCCCAGCAATAAGAAGTGAGTGTCTGCTTCACTGTTCTCATTTTCATCAATATCAAAATTAAATCGAAAATCCATTTTCAGGAATAACAGTTTAAAAATGCCAGCTTAATTTATTACAGCCAGAAACATTCATTTGAGAGCAAGGCTGATACAAAGGTGGTCTTTTTTTTTTTCTGGCTTTTGTCTTTTTGTAGGGGATATTTTTATGTCTATACTGCTGCAGGAAAGAGTACTTTATACTTTGCAGGTAGTGTATCAGATGTTTTGCCAATAGCCAGGTGAATTACTGCTGGAAATAGAGTAAATAGTTTTACATATCATTAATATCAGCACAAACAGTCTAATTGTAGCATCCTGACTTTCATTAAAAGGCTGCCCAGGGAGGTAGTGGAGTCTCCCTCTCTGGAGCCGCTCTCAGCCCCCTGGACACGTTCCTGTGTCCCTGCTCCAGGTGCCCCTGCCTTGGCAGAGGGGTTGGACTGGATGATCTTCCAACTCCAATAATTCTGTGATTAAAACCCCCCACCCTCTAACCATTTAAATTTTAGAAAACACAGCGTTACGGGGACCACATCTGTCACATAATACAAATACGGGCAAGGAAATCACTGAATCGCAGAATGAGCACAGCCGGCAATTCCGGTAAAACCCACATTCCAGACCCAGCGTCTCAAGCAGCGCAAACTCCCCGCGCAGGGCCGCCCCCCTGCCCTCCCCCGGAGCCCGGCTGAGGCAGCAGGCCGGCTATCCCCCCCCCGGTTTTCCCTTCCCGGTGCCGGTACCGACCCGCGGGTGCCGGGCGGGATCTCCCTCCGCTTCTCCCACGTGGAGCCGCTTCCGCTTCCTGACGCGCGGGGGCTCCTGGGATGGCGGGGCAACTTTCCCGCCCTGCCCGTGCCTGAGGGCAGCGCGGCCACCATGTCCCAGACGGACCCCGAGCTGCTCCTGCGGGAGCTGGGCGGCTGGGACTGGGAGCTGTGCCGCCGGGAGCTGCCCGCCGTCCTGCCCCGGCTCCTCATATCCTTCCCGGCGGGGGGTGCGGGAACTCGCTCATCCTTCAGCCTCCCGCCGTTCGGGCGAGTAAACCTGGGGGGGGAAGCGGTGGGACCTTGTGAGGGGCGGACACGGGATAGAAAAGCCGCGTGCCGGGTGTTTGGCTGCAAACAGCCCTTCCCTGAAATAAGAGATTAGAAAATAGCCGTGTGGTTCATCTAGCGCTGTAGTTAACAAGTCCCTCTTCCCCCTCCCCCCGCCCTAATAAAAAACCCCAAAACCCACAAACCACCAAAAAAAAACCCCAAAAAACCCCCCTCAAGGCTTACTCTCTAATACATTTTAGAAACGCTTTTCTGATCACATGGGGACTCGGCGATATCAGCCTGCGTTGGTTATGGAGCATCCCCTCCATATGAACATGAGACTTCTGCAAGTGCTTTAAGGATAACCTTTATAGCAGAACAAGTTTGATTTTCTTTAACGTTTTTACTCAATGTATCAAGAGTGTGAAGACTGGACTGAGCATATTCGTAAGTAGTGGCTAAGAAGTGCCTCTTCCTACAGATCGTTGTATTGCAATTGCCTTATAAACTCTGCACTACTTAAAAACACTTAAGCTACAACCAGTGACTTTCAGAGTCTTCAGCAATCCTGCTGGACCTTGCATGTTCTACAAATTGCACGTTGAATAAGCTTTATAAAAGCCCATGAAGAAGCTCTGCGTGTAAGGCTGCTTTTTCCTTCCTGTTCTGATTTTTAAATAAGTGAAAGAAGGGTGCATTTTATCTTGTGTTTTATTGTCTTTTTGGCTGTTACCTTACAGGTGACAAAGCTCTTGTGATAGCTCATAGTGAAAAGAAAACTAGGCTCATTTGTAACTGTTTAGGAGTCTTGCTAAAACTCACGGTTACATTGTATATTAGTGCCAGCCAGCACATTAAACGTGCAGCTACTTGGCAGTCTGGAACGTGGAAAGTACTCGATCCGTAGGCAAACAGTTGTGCTCAGCCTTCAACTAAGCTGAGTCAGGTGTGATGCTCTTTTTGATGTTTTCGTGCATGTTGGAGCTGTGACTGTTACTTGATTTTTCAGATGATGTATGTGGGTTTTCATGCATTTCAGATAAGGCAAATGCTGTGTTGCCTCTCTCAAAATCAAGTACCTGATCTGTTTTTGCTTGATGCAGTTCTGTGTTTCCTCTGGTAGGTAGCTACGTAGTTCTGATAATCTCACATTGTTTTTTCCTGTAATGTTTAAATACTTTTCTTTGCAGGTGTTTTGAGGATCCTGACTGAAATGTTTTTGCCCCATATCAGCCTTGAAGATTTGGAACAAACCTTTTTCTCCAAAGTATTGCCTAAGGTAGGACAGCTCCAATTAACTGGGGAATTGTCAGTTGGTCCAGTGCTAAAAATCACTGCTTAGAATGCAGTGATTCTTTCTTGAGATTGCACAATATAGTTATTGTATTGGATACAAAACTCAAAATTAAACTTTACCCTTTAAGAGTTTTCACAGTTTTGTGTTGGATTGTTTCTGTGATTGTTCTCATTCTTTACAGTAGGGAGAGATTTAAATATACAATATTCTTTCTATATTCAGCAAGAGATTTGGGGCTTATTTCTTTTTGAGAAGATTGGTCGTTTTATAAAATGTCCAAGGTGGAGAATTTTTATGTGAGGTAGCTTCTCAGAACAAGTAAACTGAAGAACCCAACACTTGTGTATCATGAATAAATGTTGTGAAACTTGTGAATTAATATAGTGAATGTTAGACCATACTGGCCTAACATATGTTCTCTTTTTTGATGAAACAATGGAGATTTTTTGGATGTAAAATTCTTGAGTGCTTGCATTTTAAGTGCAGTAAAGCAGTGCCAAATTACTGATTTAAGTTTTAGGCCTCAGCTTGTCCATTTTAAGAAGCCAGTAAAAATGGCCATTTGATTTCCATTTCTCTTGTTTTATGTCAAGTAACAAATTTTGGAGATTACAAGAAAAATGTCTAATAATAGCATATCCTGCTTATCTTGTATGTGCCTGAAAGCACCTCACTGTCTTTGCAGTGAAAACACTAACACTCATCAAATGTCCAAGGACCAAAACTAAAGTACAAATTAATGTTGTTTGTAGATTGTTGAGCTTTTTTTTAATGTATTATGATCATTCTCAACAAATTATCATTCTCAACAAATAAACAATTTTTCTGAGACAAAATGAAAATCCTATTAAAATTATGGGGGTTTAACTGAGTTAAAAAAGTCTTTGGTAGAAAGAGGTATATATTAGCTGGGAGGTTTATTTCCTAACATACTTTAGAAAAAGTAACAGCTTATGTCTATAATTTGGGAAAACCATACAGGTTGTGCTTCTTGGTACATCATGTTTTGTGACTGAAATGCTGGAAACCATTAAGTTCTCCTGGGAGTTCTCTCTGTAGCCTGTGCTTCCATACCAAGGAAGCAAGCAGATACAGAACAGTGTTGCTATTTGCATGTGTACCTTCATAAATGAAATGTTTAAGTTTTGTTTCCTTCTGACAGACTCTACAGCTCTTTGATAACTTGATGTATGAGTTATCCAGCGAGGCCAAGGGGTTAACCAGCCACAGCACAGAGTTATGCAGTACTGTAAGGAATCTGCTACAGGCAAGTCCTGTTCCTGTCAAAGGAATGTTTACATCATTCTTTCCTTTTACCTGAACTATTGAGGGGTTTTTAGAATATTTTTGCCACCTACTGGTGGTTAAAATGTAATTTAATCTTCCTTTGTAGCTGAAATTCAATTAACATCTTATGAATGATTTGATTGCATCTATCATCTGATGCTAATCATAATTTAAAAAATCATCTCAAGTTCTGCTGAAGTTACTAACACAAATGGCATGTGATTCACCGTATTTAAAGAGTGAATCTGACACTTGTTTATACAGTCACTTAATTCTCAGTTTTAAAATTTTTGGAAGCTGAGAACAGTAGCCAAAAAGATACAAAGTTCTCACGGCACATACGGAATTGCTCAGTATTATTTTATGGCGCTTCATCCGTTTTTAACAAACTACTTACTTATGCAAATAGCGAACTTTAAATGCCATATAAATCTAGGTGCAGTTCAGCAGGGAAAAGACGCTTTGGAGGTTATTGCAGGAGCGAAAACCACTGACTGCTGTTGTTTATTCTTGCCTGAAGACTGTGGTGCAGCTGCTGGAGACCCTGACGGGCTGTGTGCGCTCCGTGTGCTCCCTGCGGGAGTGTGTGCCCCTGGGCAGCGTCCGCTCCCTCCCCGCCTCCGTGCTCTACGTCGTAAAGAACACCTTCACGCACTGCAGGGTAGGTCTCTCTCGGAAGGAGAAACATCCCTATGCTCCTGGGGGTTTAGGAAGCACTCACTTTGTAAGAAGATCCTATTTTGAAATAATATTGTTGTCGGACTCTTTTAATTTAAATTGAGCTGTTAAATGGTTCGCTTATTGCGCAAGTACAGGGATGATTTTTCAGCTGTGTGCCCAGCAAATCTGACCTGGTGGTGAGAGGCTCAGACTGTGCCATTTCCATGTTTTGCATCAGTGTTCACTGAACATTTTGCTCATGAATGGAGTACTCTGTGAGATCTGTGCACTCCTAATGGCTGCAGGATTTTCAGAGCTATCAGTGGTTACCAGCATGGTGTGATTTACCTTATTTCTGTGCAAGTTCCAGAGTGGATTGAAAATGGAGATTGGCATCTCTTTGTTGGTTACAAGTAACATCTGTCATTTTCAGATTTGGACTTTCAGATGCAACAGTAATTCCCTCTAAGCAGTAAAAATAAAACCAGCTTATCATAAGGACACAGGAGCTTTTGGTTGCCTTTCATTCTGTCTTTCTTTTTTTACCTCAGTTTTCCATGTCAGGACTTAAACTCAAGTGCCGCACCTTTATCTAACAATTTTGATTTGAAAGTATTGGGAAATACTTGGAATGCTGCTTCCTTTGTTGCTAACATTGTATTGTATTGTCAGATATGATCTTAGGTTTACCCATGGACATTTATCATATGATCTTAAGTTCACCTGTGGAAGTCTAATCCGGAACCCTCTAAATTCACTAGAGCCAGGCAGACCTCATTAGTTGTCAATGAGGCTGCAGGTGACTGACATTTTATATTTAGTGATCAGGGGGTGGGAGCAGAAACTGCAGCCCTGGTTATATATTGAGTTAAAGTGGGTACATCTGTGCCTTGTTCTTTTTTTTCCAGGGGAATGTATGACAAAGCCCTTGGTGTTTTTAGCATGTGAAAAATCAGGCTGTGATTCCTGAACTTCTTTTTAAATCTCATTTCCCATTTTCTGCAGGATAGTGAATCAGTGTACTGTGGGCACCTGCACTTGATTTCTGACCTCCTACAAGCTATGTTCAAGGAAACTTACTCCCTTCAGAAGCAGCTGATGGAACTAGTTGATATGATTTCCATGGGCTCTGCATCCACTGAAGATAACATCACAGATATAGTGTCAAGTATATGCGGATTTAACACTTTTTCAGTCTCGCTTAGTCATTTTTTTTCTATAGAGTATGTTTGAATTCTTAAAACAGGTTTCTGAGCGTGCTCAGTTCCTGCTGTCCTGACCAGCCTTTCAAAAAGCAGAATTTTGAAGCTTGAAATATTTCTGTTCTCCTGAAACTTCCTCTGTGGGATGGGGCATGCTGTGTAGGTTTGTAGGATAGGGGCAGCACTTAGACATTGAGCCATTTTCCCAATTCAGTGTCAGTGTGCTGGTATTCTCTTAGTGCTTGGGATTGCTGTGAACTCATAAATCTGATTTAACTCTTGTTGTTATTTCCTTAGTGATCCACACTGTGCTGGAGATATGCTCTGTCATTTCCAATATGGACCATGCTCTTCATGCCAATACGTGGAAGTTCATAATCAAGTATGTCACTGAACTGTAATTTTAAATAATGAAGGTTTCAATTGCTTTGTGTTCAGAGTTTCAAATAAAATCGAAATTAGAGAATTCACTTTAGCTGTTTGGTAAATAAATTTAGAAATTCAATTCAGAAATTTAGCTAGGAGTAGTACTCAAGCACTGCCAGTGGAAGTAGGTAGGAATGGGTGTGAAAAGTAATAGGAACTTGACTTTTTGTATTGCAATGCAGAAGAAAATTTGCAGCACTGTTGTCTAAATAAATAATATTAAGAGGTCTTACCTGCAATTTTGTAGACATTTTTGGCTTGACTGACCATCTTGTGCTTTCATCCTGCCTCTCCTCTGTTTCAGTCATGGCTGTGGAGAGGGTTGTTCTCTCTGAGTTTCTGTTTTCAGCCTACAGAGATATTGCACCAATCAGTGTTGTACTAAAGCCTAAATAAATCATTTGGATTTGTAAGAATTCGTTGCATGGTCACTTCTGACCGTTAAATACCTGATTATGTTCCTACCTTGCAGGCAAAGCCTGAAGCATCACTCCCTGCTGCAGTGCCATCTGAAACACAGCGACATCCTGGGGGGCCTGTGCAAGGACACTCTTCTGTCTTTTGACTCCTGTTTGCAACTGGCTGAGCAAATGAAGGTGTCAGAGATACAGGTGAGTTAAAAAGCTCCCAAAGCTGACAGTGAACTTGAGGAGGATAAACTCTTTGTGCTGTATTATTGCTTGGAGTAGTTTGGGTTTGGTTTTTTGGGTTTTCTTTATTTCATGGGGTGGGCAGAATACCTTATTCTTTTGAAACCACATGAAAGTAAGGCCCATCACTTTATTTAGATTGAGGATGTTTTGTGAGACACTTAAGTTTTCACCATACTCTGTGAGAATTTATTTCCTGAACTGACAATATCCCAAGGTCAATTCAAATACAACCTTCCAATTCTGAATATTGCTCTAAAAATGTTGAGGCATAATAAATATTTTTAAAATTTTTCCCCCTTAGCTGCAGAGTCTGTAGAGAATCAAATGTGAAATAGGTTTTGAACATTGTTAGCAATCTAACTTCCTCTTTTATTGTATTACTCTGTATATTAACTTTTAGAACTGCTTCTTTTGCACAGGAGGGCACTGACTTAAGGCTGTTCCAGAAGACAGTCAAACTGTGCAGGTTCTTTGCTAATTCCCTTGTACACTACACCAAGGTAGGTTCTGTACTCCAAGTCTGTGTTAGGATTAAGTTCAAGCCCCTGGTCTGCAGATGGAATAACTTTGTACTGCACAATATCTTAACAATTTATGACTATCCCATATGGGCTGTATAATTAACATCCGTAATTAACATCCAGTAACCTGCTTGTAGTTCTTCCACCTTTATATTCTCCCAAGCCTAAGCAGGGATTTCCCAGAAAAACAAGTATAATAAACTGCTTCATGCAATATCACCATGGAGTTGGTAGGAATGTCCATCTTTATGGCCAGAGTGGCCGAGTTTCCAGAATTGTTGGTTGTTTGAGCCATTGAATTGGATGTGGCACTAATAAGAAGAAGTGGATACTGTTATTTATTGTTGTTACTTTGTTTATTGTTTGCTTTGCTCTTGCTTTGGATTCTTAGAACTTAAACAATTTTTGCAGTTTAGTACTTTACACACCAGTATAAGAGAACAAAAAGTGTAATTAATGGTGTCTTTTATATTGAAAGTACCATTCAAAATTAATGGCTTTTGCAGGAATTCCTTGCTTACTTCTCTGACTGCTGTTCTCAGTTACATCAGCTCTTTCTTCAGATATACAGGTATGTGAAGCACAAATAATTATCATTGATAGTATCTTAATAACATCTCTTTACTGCCTTCTTAAAGTATTCTGAGATATAGAAATACAGTTCTTGTTCCAAAGCTGTTGTCATCTTTTTTTCATGGATAGAAAACAAAAACATTTTTTAATGAATTAAGCATTTTTGTGTGATACAGTCACCTTAATCCCATTCTTGATCAGTGCTGTGCATGTCCCATATTGACAAACCATTAACTTTGTTGAAACTACTTATGTCAACATTTCTTAACAAATTATGTGTAGAATATGCAGAAAGAAAAAATTCAACACTAAATGCAGGTGTCAGTTGTGACATGTGACAGATCATTTCTGCTTTAAGACCAAGTATGGAAACATTCATCCTGGAGAAAGAGGGGATCAGAAACAAAGTATCCTGAAATTTTTCTTTGCTTTACAGTGTGTTTATAGTCCTGTGAAATCTCACAAGAGGACTCTGGTTCTCCTAGAAGCAAACGCTCTTTTAATGTTTTGTTCATAGAACAAAGGTCTGCAAGTGGTTTATCACTGTGGTTTATCACTCTTCTTTCTGTTTGCTGCAGTGGTGGGGAAGAATAGGGGAATATGGGCTTTCTACTAATCATAGTTCACCCTCTGAAATCCAAGGGCTGATTTCAGCCCTTCTTTTGGAATTCAAGCCACGTTCTGTGGTGTGATGTGCACCCGAGTTTCACTGTAAGATTGGGGGGATATTTTTTTATGAGTTTCCTCTTTTAGCTTTACTTACCTTGTAGATCTTTCTCAAGTGCAAGGTTGTAAACTTTTATTCACTCAGGGAAACTGGACAGGATTTTTGAGTAGCAAGGCAGCATTTTTATCATCATTTTATAAGCCGCAAGAGTGGAAGGTTTTCATTTCATGATCTCTTTTGTATTATTCTCCTCTTGGTTCTTTTTTTTTTTTTTATTGCCCAAGGTTTTCTCTCTTCAAAGAAATTGTGGTACCCTTTTAGTGTCATATGTTAAGTCAGTGCTGTTACATTTATGACTGTCAAATTGTGTGTATGGGTGTTTTGTTGGCTTTTCTTTTTTATTTGACTTTTGTGATTTGATATGTTTCTTCTGATAGATGTTATGTATTTTACATGCATTTTCTGTGAGCTTGTAAGGTTTTCTTTCAACATTTAGTAAAATATTGGATTGTGATGCTAAGTTTAAAAGCTGAATGCAGAGTTGTAGCTCTTGGACTATAACAGGTATTCTAAAATGGGGAGCCTTTTATTTCACAGGAACAAGGAAATGATAAACTTACTTCTTCGTAGTTCTTTTGGAAAAAAGTAATATTACTGAAAATGCTACTGAGAATATTTAACTTTTTTTTTTTTCCATTCCCTCTCAGCAAATTTCCTCCCAGTCTCTATGCTCCAGAGATCTTGGAAGTTCATCGAGAGGAAATATCCCGGGTTTTTCTCGTGGCTCTGGATCCTCTTATCAACCAGCTTCTTCCCTTTAGTCCTTTCATGGAGCAAGTGTTAAGTGAAAAGTTAGGTAGGTTGAAAATACAGCTACCAGTGCTGTGGTACTATGTAAACATCTGCAAGGGATTGGGACTGATATTTTGACTTTCTGAACCACAAGAAATATTCTGTACCTGTTTGCTTGTCTGTAGTTCTTGTGTAAGTACTGTGGTATAAGCAGTTCCATGCTGAACTGGATGAATTTTGTAACACATAGTTCATGTGGTTGCTGAATTCATCTTTTCCAAAAGACTCACAATAACTTCAGTATTAACCTGGTTAACAGACATCCTGTCAGTTCTCCTTTTTTGCATAATTTCAATCCACTTTTTGTCACAAACTTTCAAAGGAAGCTGAAATTTTTCTGCTGTACTGTTCATGGGGGAAGACAGCCATTTTTTCCTAAATTAAGTATTTTCTATGGAAAGCAGAATGCCTTCAGACTGGAAAATTACCACCTTTTTGTTTCCACACTCCATCCTCCCAGACCAACGAGTCATAATTCTGGGATGGCTGAGATAGTTCATCAGTTTGCCTCTACACTTGCTTTATAAGCCACTTTAGACACGTGATGTATTTACCAGGGCAACTTGCATCACGTTTGAAAACAAACTTCTGCAGGTCTCCCTCCTGAGCAGCAGCTGCCCCAGTGTCTCCTCCTGGTTACCATCATGGACAAGCTGTCCTCTCAGCCTGAGGAAGTGCAAACTCTCTGGAACACAGGAAAAAGGTACTAATGAGGTTTTTGTTGTAGTTCTTCCCCACAGCAATCGTTCCATACAGGCAAATAGAGGGGCTCAGCTGCTGGAGTTCCCCACGCAACTGAGTAGTAAAATTTGTCAGACTCTATGGATTTACTTCCTTCTGCCAAGACAAACAGGATCTGATGTTCAGTGCCTCAGGAGGGAAGCATACAGAACCAGAGATGTCCTTGTTTTTTCAGGGAAGGAATGGTATTTAGAGTACTTCCAGGATAAGAAGAGAGAGAAATTTTTAGTTTGTTGATGCTTCACTGAGTTAAAATCTCAAACTTTTATGCCTGAACCCTCAAGTAACCACCTGGACTTGTAAAAGAGGAAGGTAGTCAGAAACAAAAATTTAGTGTAAAACCACTGAAGTTATTGCCATTGTTCCTTGTCAAAGATTTTTGTAGTACTAAGATTTTATAGTGCAGATGTTTCTTGGGGATTTTGGATTTACGTATCTGTAACTCAACTATTTCTCTTTCGTTTTTTTTCTTTTCCCCTTGCAGCCTGTCTTTGTTTTCAGCTCTCTTCTTCAGTTTCCAGCAATGTCCTGGTGAGCTTTCTCTCCCTGTCTGTTTGCCAGAGGTGGTCAGTACTGGGCAGCCAGCAGTTCCCATCACCCTCTATCACTATGTCTGTGTCCACCTGTGCTCCTTCATTGCTTCCACACTCCCATCACACTTCCCTCAGCTGGTAAGATTGGTTTTTGCTTATCATCTCTTCAGCTGTTTTTATATATAAAAATGGGTTATATATAAAACAATGGGTTCTTTTTAATGACTTAGCCCTGAATTGATGCTTAGGTAAGAAGTGGTTCTGTAGAAAGCAGCTGTGACACAGTTACATGGCTGGAGTTGAGTTATCCAACAAATGTCACTTGTGGGAAGGGGGGGAAGTAAGGCTTCAAAGAGTTCCTGAGGACTTCAGTGGCACTGGACATTTTTGTTCTCTTTCAGAGGGAGGGAGCTCAAATCATCATAAAAGTTCAGTGCTTTCTTTTATGCTGTATTCAAACTGTATTAACTTTACCTGTTTTTATTAGTCTATATTAAGTTTAGAGTAGACTATGTTGTTGTGATTCCAGCTAAAAACATATCATAAAATGGTAATGAGCAACATTTTCTACTTCAGAGGAGTATTCTGGGCTTTAATTAATGTTACATAATGTTTTCAAAGTTTTTCACTTTTACTTCACACAGACAGAAGTACCCCCAGATAAATGTAAACCTTGATAAAGTTAGGAGCTGTCACAAAAAATTACAGCCCTAATTTAGCAGATTGTTTGTTTGGTTTTTTCTGAATGCTGTGTTCCTCTTTCAGGTAAAATTTGTGTTTGTAAAAGAGGAAAAGTATTCATTTGGTTTTCAGTAGGTTGCCAATAAAGCTGGAAAGAAAATTGGCAATACATTGTTTTTTTCATAAGAGTTGCCTTGCAAAGAAGGGATGCACATGATGAAATGTCTCCAAGTGAAGGATCCCCAGGCCATTGAGGTGGATGCACATGTGCATTCAAAGTGTGCAAATCTAAAGGTGTGGCTGCTCACTTGATGGTGTAGCTGAATATGGAGTACAAAAAAAGAGTTCTTCAAACATTTTAAATTGGATAAGCTTGAAACTCTTCCTGGGTTCTGTACCAATTAGTGAAGTAAAAGTAGTAGCAGGCCTGCAGTTTCTGCATGAATGTACATATGTATATTTTCTCCTCAGGAATATGCCCTGCTGGATGCAGTGCTGGGTTCTAGCATGATCACATCTCTGCTGGCCATGGACTCATGGTGCTTCCTTGCCCGGTAAGATGCTCTTATTGCAGGTCAGGCAGGTTTTCCACAGATCCAGTTCATTCTGTTGTTGTACATAATTCCTTGAGAGATTTTTTTAAGACAAAATTTTCCCAGAATTGGATTATTTTCAGATTTAGAGCACATTTTGAAAATTAGAAGCAGAAATGGCTTAGCCATTTTTTCATTCACACAAGGGAACATACTTTCTCTATTATTTAATAATTGTGGTTTGGAATGGTTATCTCAAGTAAATTGTGTCTGCAAATCAAGCTGAAATGTGTTAGAGGAAATTTCTCAGGCCATTTCTCAGACAAGGTTTGTAGTATATATTCTGTAAAAGACCAGGAAGTACAGACTGACAAGCTTCTGTCTCTCATGTTCCAGGTATGGAACAGCTGAACTGTGTGCTCACCACGTTCACGTGATTGCCCACTTGGTAAGAACCACGGTGTATTTGCAGCTTGGCACCAGTTTTAATCCAAGTTATACTGGCAAACTTTCTAAATAACCAAAGACAGGATTTTTTTATTTTTTTTTTTTTAAATCCAAATTGAGATTGTTTCAATTCTTCAAACTGGGTTAATAATTAGCAAAAGCAGTACAGTAAAAATATAAAACAATATGCCTGGTATTTCCAACATGATCCCACACAGCAACTCTTAGAACGTTCTGTATAGAATTTATTTGCTTAGTGGTGATTTTTTTTCCTTAATTTAATTGGATGCATTACCCTTTTATGCTAATGCAGCTAAAGGCTTGGCCCAGTGACTGTTACCAGGTCTCTGCCCTGGGTGTCCTGCTGAGGCGTCTGCTGTTCATGATGGCTCCGGACCATCAGGCAAGTACAGCACCACCATCTTCTGTCGCTACTAGAAGAGATTTGAACCAGTGGCCTGTGTTAAAATATCCTCTTTCAGCTCTTCAGAAGTGCCAAGATGAGTGCTCACCCACTGTCTTTGGTATTGTAGTTGTTATTACTGAGTCACAGTGGATCCCACTTTGTGCAGACTGCACACCTTCCTGAGTGTCTTTCTGGGCAGCAGTGGAGTCCTTTTTCTGACTAAGGATGAAAACAGCACACCTCCCAGATTTGCTGAAAACTGTGTGTCCTGGCATTGCATCTGTGACTGGTGTTCACGAGTGTTCTCATGAGTGTTCTCATGATACATCAGGTATCAAGAGCAGTGTCCTGTCCTGTCAGTGCCTCTCTTCGTACCTTGGAGAGGCCAAAGCCCTTTCTTCTACTTACTGGGGCCATTGCTTCAAGCAGCTGAAAGAATTAAGTCGTTTAATCATTCTGATGTCCTATATGTGACAAGGGAGGTGGCAGTTCTACAACTTTTTTATATAAAAAGTTGAATTTTATTAAAGTGAAAGGTTTTACACCTTTTTTTTTTTTTTTCATGTAATATATCTAAAGCAAACCAGCTTTCTGAGAGATTATCAAGTTGTCTTCTGGCCTACTTAGTTTCTGTTACCTTTTGTTTCCAGGTAGAATTTGCCCATAAGTTTCTTCCAGAAGAGGTGGAGAACTTGGCTGTGTGGCAGCACGTATCCCTCAGGGCCCTGAATCCCGACCTCAGGAAGCAAGTGGCAGGTCAGCTGTGCGTGGCCGCGCTCGCGCAGTGCCGGCGATGGCTCAACAGCAGGCGCGCCCTGGGAGAGCTCCCACCCGTGGTAAAGGAGATGATTTGGTTCTCTTTGTAAAATTTGTGAGCTCTGGATTTCCAAACTAGAAGGATTCTGTTGCTGTCACCTCAGTTTTTCAGTGTGTTTTTTCCATGCCTAGCTGGCCTATGCATGAGCAAGAACTCTCCATGTTAACGTTTTCTTCTCGCACACAGCACCTCAGGACCCTCTACTGTGACAGTGGAGGTCTTGTGGTTCCCAAGTTATTCTAGTTGTTTGCTCTCTGGGTGAGCACGTGTATTTTTGTTTAGAATTTCTGATTTATGCTATACCTTAGGATACAATTACTTTTAAGTTTTAAAGTCCTGGCTGGTTTTACGCAGCATCAAATGTGAAAGATGCTCACTGGTCTCCTTGGCGAGGGAGTGTGAGAAACCAGAGGCTTCCACATGAAGTGTCTGCTGCCAGATTCCTCCTGCCAGTGCAGCAAATGACTGGAGCTCGTGTGAGCCTCGCAGGAGTAACGGATGGTTTCCTTGCTTTGGAAGCTTTATTGGCTGGTGGGCTGCTGGATTAGCTGTGCTGTACAGCTGACACAGCACACTGGGCTTCCTGCCACCTTGTATCATTTGAGATGTTTAACATGAGCCTGGGGTTTTGGGTTGTTTTACACGTAGGTTTTTCTGGTCTGTCTTATACATTTTTTCCTCCTAGAACACTGCCCTTTCTGTCCTGCTGGCTGCCTGCACTTTTGCTGATGACACTCTGGAGGCAGAACTTAAGGCATCTGTCCTGGGAGTGCTCAGTCAGTTCTGGACTCTTCTCCAGGCTAAGCAGGTAAGAGAATTTGCTGCTCCAGTGCTGAAAATATGATGTCTTTGAGAGGCTGGTGCTATTTCTTCACATCGTTGTTACTAATTTGTTTTACTTGGATTGGACTGTTTCTGTAAAGCACAGTGTAACTGTGCTGCCCATCTGCTCTCAGCTGGTTTATGTTTTGGGCAGGCCTGTGCTCTGGGAAGCTGAGTTTGACTTTTCCTGAATGTTACATATGTGGCTCCTTGTGACTCCATCTGTTACTCAGTGTCAGACTCAGACTCGCTCAAGGAGAAATCTGAAACTCCTCATTCTGATTCACACCAGTTACGAATTTGGTCTGTTTTAAGTGTTCATTGGAATGTGAACAAAACTCACAGTGGTTTGACTAGTGCACAGCCTGGCACTTGGAAACCCACACCCTCCTCCCAGATTTGAGGGGGTCAGGCAATGCCCTTGCAACCGTGGTACCTCTTCATGGCTGCAGTTGCATAAAGAAAAGAAAAAAGGATTGCCATGGTTCATGCTTCTGATTAAAAAAGGAAGTTTGAGAGTGAGGGTGAAGAGGAACCAACAATGTGCCCCTTCAGAGGTCTCCCAACCTCAGCTCATGAGGACATTTGGCAACTGAGAAGTGAAAAGAAATAGTTCAGATAACCTTTAGCTGCTTATTTCAGTGAGGGGTGGAAGGAGACAAGGGCTAAGAAATATTGTTAATAAAAATCAAAGAAAAGGGTCTTGTAAAATATGACTACCTAGAAGTATTGATATGACTACTGTACTATTTTCTTCTGCTTACAATGCAGTGTTTTACGTGTGTGAAGTCAGACTAAGAATTTTGGAACGCTACTATGACTTGAAATTCTTTCTTAAGTAGTTATCCCATAAGTTAAAATGCAATGTTGTGATCTCTTGAAGGTCTCAGATGGGCCATGTCTCCAGCAGACACTGTGTCTATTACTTCACCTTTTGGAATTTTTCATCCAAGCATTAGATGCCCAACTGATTACTCAGGTAAAAAAAAAATCCCTTCTTATGAGTAATTTACTTCATGAAAACCAAGTTCTCCATGATTTGCTGAAATCTTAAATGAATTATTTCATGGTCTGGCCGCCTTTTAACACATGAAGTTTTTTAGTTTTATTTCTTGCTTGATTACTTTCCTGGGTTTTAAACCAAGCATATGGCATTTTGGTTAACACTGCTTTTGAAAATCTCCAGTTACTCTGTAAGATATTGAGATATGTGGATGTGCTGTGTGGAGCCTGCTCATTTCTTTCTAAACTGCACACTGCAGCTTTACCTTACCCCGTTCTATTTGAGGTGCAGCACCTCCTTTTGGTTTTAAGTCCAGTTTTCTCAGTGTCTTTGGATTTAAAGATGAGACAGCACCATTTTAACCTGCAGTCTGTTGATGGAGCCTCACTGCAGTTTGTTTTCCACAGGTATTTGCACTGCAGTCTTCCCTTTTCCAGCTGGATCCCCCGGATCATGTTCGTCTAGCGATGGTGGATTTTCTGTCCTCCATGGGAAAGGTGTTTATACCACAAGAAGCACAGGTAAATGTAATTGTGGTGTTAGTGAAATCATCTTCAGTCTTTTGATGAAGAGATACACCTTTTATTTAAATATACACTCCATTAAATCCGTATAGGAGTGCCAGGACATCTTGGAGACTTATTAATGGTCTATGGCAGGTTTATTTTTCATGAAGACATGCTGAGTGCATGGAAGATGCTTGGTTTATTCACTGTTTTTGCTTCTCACCAGACTGATATTTAAA